GTGTGTGTGTGTGTACTGTCTATAGTTTGTAACGTAACTAGCGTGTGAACCTCTGTCCTGATGCTGCTGTGACACCTGAATTTCCACTTGATGAGACAATAAATTAATTTTAATTAAGTTTAATTCAGTTTATTAATATAGCACTAAGTAATAACGTACTATATGTTGTCTCAGGACACTGTACATAAAAAGAACAATGTAAAGAAGAAAGCAGCAGATTGTGTTGAATCACTTCATCACAGTCTCCCATCCTGAGCAAACGGTGGAGAGGAAAAACTCCCTGCTAATCAGGAAGAAACCTCCAGCAGAACCAGGCTCAGGACAGGAGACCATCTGCCTCCACCGGCTGCTTGGAGGACAGGAAGTCTCATATCTATATCTCATATACTGTATCTCTATATCTCTGTCTCATATATGTCTATATCCATATCTCATCTATCTCTATGTGTCATATGTCTACCTCACATATCTGTATATGTCAGGGGTAGGTGTGGCAGAAGGATCAGATCCAGGTWCACCTGCTCATGTTGTTGTTGATGCTGTTAAATTTCTCCTGAAATAAAAAAATGACACTTCAGATTTTCACATGACTCTTGGTCATTTTTTAATGYAGCTAAATCTTTCTGTAATGTTTACTTTAAAAGCTGGTCTGCAGCTGAACTGAAGCCCTCCTGGCTTTAAAGCTCCAGTTTGATGGATTTTATGTTTAAACAAAAACCCTCGCACTGGGCTCTGGATGTTCACCAGAAAGGAGGCGGGGCCATTTGAACAAGGTCATGAGTCTCAGTTCATGGGTCACAGATGACATAGATCACATTTGTCGTGTGTTTCCATCACTGGCCCGCGCTGTAGGCTGTCCCTTTGTAAAGGCCGACACATTCAGAAAACACGGGTTGTGTTGGTGTGCTGTGTGTCTGGTGCTCTACCTCCATCTTCTGTCCTCCTGCCATCACTCTTTCACCAGCCTGTTTTCATCACTCCAGTGTCCGATTATTGTTTGTCTGCCCTGGCTTCCTTCTGTGTGCTCCTGGTTTTGCTTAGTATTTTTGTTCTTTTGCTGCCACGTCTGCTTTTTGCTTTAATAAATATTTTTACTTTGAGCCGCCTGCCTGTCTGCAATCTGGGTCCTACTCCACTCCCTGAACCTGACAGCATCTGAGTCTCCTTCACAGCCGACGGTATCCCAGAATTCATTTCACCAGCAGCAAATTAAACAGAAAAACAAAGATGGCGGAGGTTTTTTAAAGATGGAGTTTATAAATTTATCACAGACTGAAAAAAGTTGGAGAAAGTTTTGATGTGATGACGTGTTAAATAAAACACAGGTACAGGTACTGATCCTGGAGCTGAACCCAAACGGTTGATGCTTTTTAAGAAACACATCCAAACCCTGACCTGGTCAAGTTTCATGAAAACAGTTTTTAAACTGAATTAAAAACAGTACAATTACACAATGTACATGTTTGGTACTCTAAAGGGTTAATAACTTATTTCTAATGTTTTTCTATTCAAACTGAAGTTTCTGAAGCTAAACTTTGAAAAACAACAGCAGTGATGTGATATAAAAGGTATCACCAGGGTAACGAGGCAGCGGACCACCTACACTGTGGACAGCAGGTCTACAGCAGCACGGCTCACAGCAGGTGTAGTGAAACTTACCGTTGTCCTGGAAATACTGCTGAACAACGTCCACCATCCAATCAGCTTTCTGCTGTCCATACACACCCCCAAACCCGTTGTCCACGGCGATCTGACAAACATGAACAGAGAAGATCCTTTAGTTACAGGTTTAGGTTAGGATGAGCCTCAGAGGGTGTGATGGAGACCACTCTGAGCTACCACCACTCTGAGCTACCACCACTCTGAGCTACCACCACTCTGAGCTACCACCACTCTGAGCTACCACCACTCTCAGCTACCACCACTCTGAGCTACCACCACTCTGAGCTACCACCACTCTGAGCTACCACCACTCTGAGCTGCCACCACTCTCGGTTACCACCACTCTCGGCTACCACCACTCTGAGCTACCACCACTCTGAGCTACCACCACTCTCGGTTACCACCACTCTCGGCTACCACCACTCTGAGC